GCACTCAATAGCACTGTACAATCTGGATGATATGGACAGTGTTTCTCTTGCCTTCTCTAACAAATGAGGTGCTGTAGTGGTTATTCTTGGGCACAAAGTTCTCTTCAGCCCCATGGGAAGGTAAGATCATGAGACACCTCACAGGTACATGTGTTCAATCTGCCCAGGAGATCGCAGAATCAGGGAATGATTTGGGTTGGAAGAGACCATAAAGATAATTTAATTGCAACCCCCCTGCCCTGGACAGGGACACCTTCCACTAAACCAGAAGCTTTGGGATGAACCCAAACATTATCATGATGTCTCTGCAATAAATGAGGCCCAGTCCATTCCCTCTCCTTGAGTTCTCATCCTTGCAGGCAGGCTTCTGCACAACTGCTGCCTTTACTGTCAGACCTTTGCTGTCATTGGCTGATCCCTGACCAGAATTTTGGGAAACTGCAGCTATCAGTAATTCAAGCAAAGACAGTTTTACTTCTCGCAGTAGCTATCTATTTATCTGCAGTTTAAGGAGAGAGAATTGAGGCCTAATGGTCACTAACTATGCCCTGATGGTAGCTGTTTAATGAGGATAAATGAGGAGTGCTGTGTCAGCTTAGACACTGGCAATAAAGTCCCAGTAAGCAAGCAGGCTGCCTCTTCCATCTTCTGTCTCAAGATGCATTTTTATACTCTCTCCATGACCTAGATCTTCACACCCTCCAGCCTCTCCCTCCTTTCAGTAAATGCCCTTTTGTGTTTCTGAATGCATTTCTTCCCCTTCAAGTGGTGCCGTTTTATTTTTTCCTGTCTTCAAGAAAAATAAGCACTGCCCTCCTTTGCCACTGGCTTCATTACAGCTCTGCCACATTATCATTTGCTTCCCTAAGAGATCTCTCACTTTTCATCCCTTCTCTAATTGTGTTCTTGCCATGCTCTGAAAAGGCTCACCACAGATGCTTTTCACGTGCTCTCATCCTTGCCTCTGCCTTGCAGAGGTTTTCACAGTTCTCCCCTTTAAACTAATTTTGTGCTTGATATGCTTGCTCTCTGGGAATATAAACAGGAAAAAATTTATATTAAAAAGTTTATTTTTTTAATATAAATTTATATTTTATTTATAGTTAAATTCTATATTTATATTTATAAATTTATATTTTATTTTTATTTTAAAAGTTAATATTTATAAAGTTTATAATTTTTTTATTTATAAACAGGCAGGGCAAGTAGAAGACACCAAGGGCTATCAGGGTGCACACATAATATTGTGGCATGCCAAATCAGGGAGAGGTGGTGGGAGTTTTGCTCCCTTTGGGTCAATGACAAAAAATTGTATTAATTTGGTTGGAGCCTTCTTCACCAACACTATTTTTGGGACAGTTTGAGAACTACCAGATATGATCATGCATGGGAGTGGGATGGAGCCAGGCCAGAAATTTTTCTGCCTTAAGAAAGATTCTCAGGGAAAACCAATTTTACCTGTGATTTTTTTTCTGGAGCAGGTAACCTGGAAAAGTACAGAGAGAAAAGGTCCCTGTGCTGTGCTTTCCATCACTGACTGGAATATGTCCACAAGGGGATAAATCCAGTGAGGAAAACAGGTGCCATGCAAGATGCACCTATTTCAGAAGAAGAAGAAAAACTGGGCTTCCTGTATGCCTGACTCAAGCAGGACTGAGGCACTCCATGATTTTTAGGACAAGGAAATTTTTTTTCTGATTATTTTTGTAGTACAATAGAGTCATGAGAAGTAGATATTGATACTTTATTTAACTTCCTGGGGCATAGAACACTCTTTCATCTTTTCTCCGAGGACTCTCCAGTTCTTTTACCCTCTTCCTTCCACCAGAGCTCTAATGAAACTGTGATGAGTTGGCTACTTGAGCTGGTGAACCAGTTTCCAAACACTTGAATCTTTAACAAAGGCCCATTTTCTCAATATGACACTTCTTACAGGCAACAAACAACAGGAGTTTATATTACATCCTTCTACCAGAGCACTCCAAAGCCACTTTGGGATGAATAGCTTCCACAAAGAAAATGAAAGCGGATCTTTTGCTCCTGTAAACTGATTTCACACATTTGAAACTGATAGCACAGCTCTGCATAAGCTGAGAATGTGAACCAGCGTGCCTTGCTCTGCGTTACAAAGAAAGTTGGTTGTCATAATGAAATGACTTATGATTGCACTAACATTTTGTCAAAGTCCTCCTACAGCTCCTGTGGTTCTTTCGCACCACTTTTTCTTGCAGATCCCAGTAAAAAATTGCATGGACCGTTTGATATGCCACTCTTCATTGTAACTTCAGTGCTTGCTATTAGCTCTCAACCCCCCATGTTAGTGCACCAGTGATGTGGTTCATGAATTGCTCATAAAAGGCCAAGCATATTTTTTTTTTGTTGACATCTATGCTTCCCTTTGCTTTCTAGAGCTTGCCAGATGGTGTGTGCTGAAGGGCTTTGAGTAGGGTCCTGTCACTGGTCCCCTCAAGGTCACTGGAACATTTTTTCAACTCCCTCAGTAACAGTAGCATTGTTCTAAAATTATGTGAGTGCATTGTGTTACAGAACACCAAATAATGCTGTCATGAGCTCACACAACTTGCACACAAGCTGCAGGCGTCTCCACCAACCAAACTTTCCTTGACTCAAAATAAATTTAACATATGAGATAGCTCAGGATCCTGGTGGGGAATAATGGTACCATGAGAATGAGGGGGGCGAAGGTTGAGGTTTGTCTTGTCTCTGCCAGAGGAGGACAAATTTCCACCTTGGAAAGGCTCCTTATCCCAGACCACACAAACATTCTTCACTATCAAAAGTGAATTAAGATCATACTTTGCCTCAAGAGGCATCATCTCATCCATACCTTGAGGGTAGAGTGTGAAATTCCCTCATAAATTCAAACTCCTGTGATATGGAGGATGGCCAAAGAAGGTTTGAACAGGTCTCCACAACTTTCATGGGCAAAGGATGCTCAGAAGAAAGAGGAAAATAATCAGAAAACAGTGCTGTTTCTCCATCACACTTGATGTTTTCATTATTTGCAATTATTTCAAGGCAGAGATTATTAGTGAAAGTATTCTAATTTGGAAAACATTGAACTCTTGCAAACTGAGACAAAATAACAATCTCACTGAACGGGTAAGGTTGGAAGGGACCACTGAAGGACATCTGGTCCAAACCCCTTCTCAAGCAGGACTCCCTAGAGAACTCCACTGAGGATTGTCTCCAGGGAAGAAGAATCAAATACCATTAAACAAAAAGTGCCTAAAATAAATTACACCCTACCAGAGCTCGTGGATTCCCTATACTTTATTTCTAAGACTTCCTGAGTTTTTTCTCAGAGACGCTGTAATCCACAGGAGCAGAGCTGGAGCAGTTACAGATGAAACAGTGGCAGAGGGATCCTAGAGAAGTGTGACCCTTTGACAGCAGGCTGGGGTGATGACCAGAGGATCTCCCCTGCCCAGGAGGAGACTGGTGAGGAGTGGGATCTTCTGGCACTACGTGGTGCCAGCCTGATGGGAAAAAAAGAGCCCAGAGGGAAGAAAGGGTGAAAGGATGAACACCTAACAGATGAAGTACCTCATGCCCTTGCCTCACCCACAGACAGAAATCAAACACCTCCAACTTTGTTCCCCAACGCCTCGCTATCCCATTGCTGTGAGGTGGCACCACCAAAGCACAGCAGAGTTGTGCTGATGGGAGGTAAACCTCAAGAAAGGGCTGGCAGGAGGAGAGAACAGCCCTGAGATACTGCTGCAGCAAACACATATCTTGACAGTTCACAGATGCTTCCTAAGGAGCTTTACCACAGACTTTTTACTAAAATGTGGTTAGAGTTGGAGACCAGTAGCTTATACATCACAGATTCTGATAAAAAAACTGAGCAAAAATGTCAGCACATTTGGAAGCTGTCAAAAGCTGGGGGGCTATGCGTGTCTCATACAGAGAAAGAGAGAGAAAAGAGAAAGAAAATAAACTCCATTGCATATGAGATCTTTGGAGCAGATCTACTACAGTAACATGAAGCAACAGCTGTCAAAACAGCAGCCAGAGGGGCTGTATTTGCAGTTGGATGAGTTGGTTCCACCAAGGCAGTCCATCCCACAAAGCCCCAAAGGGAAGAATGTGAGAGGACACTAAGTTATCTATCCTGCCTGGCCATCACTGACTTCTCCAGGAGGTGATTTAATTTCCATGAGGCTGCTGAGCCACTGGTGAAGGTGCTGAGCTCTCTCTGAGGAGGAGAAAGATGAAACCTGGCATTGCTGTGGAGGAGCTCGTGGATGCTGAGGCTGACTGCCTGCAATGGCAGCAAGACTGCTCTCAGCAGCAACTTGGAAAGGAAACTTAAACCCCTACAACGAGCTGTGGCCTGTGCCATTGTCACAGCATGGGGCTCCACTGAACGGAAAATACCCCTTGGCCTACAGCCCTTCCTCTCTGCTGCTCAGGGAGGAGAGAGTTGGCTCTCATCACCCCCTTGTCGACAGCCCAGCCCCTGGGACTGCCTTCCCTGCAGGAATCTGGAGAGGGATGCTCCATCTGGAGTGGAAATCCCACCTGGGTGGCAAGTTCTACTCCACTCCTGGTGCCCGAGGACACGATTTGGACCAGAGATGGTTCTGTCCTTTCAGTGATGGGCACAGCACTAAAGCCCCCTTCTGTCCATGGCACAGTCCATTTTTAACTTTTAAGGATATTCTAGGAAAAACTAAAAAAAAAAAGAGAAGAAAGAAAGAAAGGAAGAAAGAAAGAAAGGAAGAAAGGAAGAAAGAAAGAAAAGAAAGAAAGAAAGAAAGAAAGAAAGAAAGAAAGAAAGAAAGAAAGAAAGAAAGAAAGAAAGAAAGAAAGAAAGAATAAAAGAGAACAGAACCAAAGCATGTTTTTATCCATTACCATAAAGAGGGCTTGTGAATGCATGGTATTAGTATCCCAAAAGCTATTAAACTCCCTAGTGATGGGAAACAGATGGAAAATAAGACAAAAGAATTCACAACTCATGTTAGACTGAATTGAATTCCTTTAATTTCACACAATGAATAACATATGAATAGGATTAACTTTTTTTTTTCTTTTTTTTTTTTAGTTAAGTGCTCTATACTGTGCTAACCTGATTTGGTAGCGAAAAGACTGAGCTTTGTTTTAGAAAAAAATGTTTAAAAACCAACATCTAAGATCATGAAGGAGCATGACATTAAAGCATGCCAGATGTATCTAAGCCTCAAAGAACATCAAGTCCATATCCATTTTTAAATGTACAAAAATGCTTCATGAATAAAAACTGTTACAAAAAGAACATTTCAAACAATGTACAAGTTTTTTTCTTGCCTCTATATTCAATAAAATACAAATACATTTTTTTGCTCTAAAATATGTTTACATACAATCAAAGTAGAACATGCAAATTACACTTTAAAAAAGGCTTTTAAAAACCACTTATGAATACAAACTAAAAATTAGCCAGCACGACTTATAGAACAATCTTGTGCCCCATTCGTTTGATTTTTTAATTTTTTGAAATACAGTATATACATATTTAACACTTCATGTGCATTTATTATTTAAGAAATAGCTTAAAAAATAAAGAAAAAGAAAAGTAAAACAAACCAACATGGGATTGAACTGCTTCCCCATGTTGTCCAATTGGCAGCTCTTTTCATGTTTTTATATTTTTTTCTTTTTCTTTTTTTTTCTATGTAGTGTTTTATGCAAACTAGGCAGGCATCTTAAGGAGATCTCCAATATGTTTTTTGTTGAAATGTGCTTCTAATTATCTCAGAACTGCTGCACCCCAGTTTTTGGATGATATGGAAAGAAGAGGCATTACAAGGGCAAGATGTTTATTTTTTCAATTCAGAAAACTCCCTTTTCCCTGTATTCTTTTAGTTGTTCTTCAAACTCCTCAGGATGCTCATTAGATGTGCTTACGTGCAGTCCTGAATCAGGGCCTGTGAAAATAAGAGTTAGGGAAATCCTTGTGTTTGGAACAGTGATTTCTGTTTATTTGGTGCATTATTGTAGTGCTCAGAAGTCCTCGTGATCAACTGGCACCCCATTGCACCAGATGCTACCCAAATAGTCACAATATTCTATGTTCCACAACATTTCTGCCAAATGGGCCATGCTGTAGGATACCCGGGTAGCTGATGACTATTTTCACCTCTTTTAAATTTATTTTTTCCTTTTTTTTTTTTTAAGTTATCCAAAAACATGCAAGGTGCTTCACAGAAAATTTAATATTGAAGGGCTCAAGAAACTGGCAGCATGAAGGTCTTGGAGACACAAGTGGTAATTTTTTTTTTTCTTTTTTTTTTTTTTTCTTTTTTTTTTTCCTCTCTCCCTGAATATTTATCCCCATTTCTGGTTTTACACTGGATTGAGGAATAAAAGACCCACAGAGTGGATGCAAACCCGTGGCCTTATCTCATATGGCTCACAGCCACGTGATACTGTTTTGTGTTTTTATTGAAGCATACTCAGATGTGTGCTAATCTGTGACACAGTGGAGGTGTTTGAAAGGTTTTTTGGTCTTAGTAAGCAAAAGGGCTTTCACCCCAGTATTATACAGTATTTGGAAATGTGTGGAGAGAATCTAGAGAGTTCCTCAGTAAATCTTCCTTGTGGTAAGGGAAAAAAAAATCAAAAAGCTCATTACTGGAATATTGTTGGGTAATAAACGGCAGGAGTGGGATTTTAGCCTTAAGCCCTAAAACTAAATCCTTTATGATCTGCATGTAGTACATCGCCTTAAAATATTATTCTGTCAGCAACTTGCTTATCATCTTTATAGACTATGCAACATGCAGAACACAAATTCTGAGTGCCATCTAACAGTATTTTGTCTGCTTTTTATGACACTAACAAGCCACTCTCCCTGTCAGCCCAGGACCAGCTGCATGAGGGTGTTGTGTGGACAAACAGCCAAAGCTGAACCACAGCATCACGCTCCACCAGCACCTTCTTGCCATGAAAACACAAACCTTGATCTTCTGGATAGAGCCCATCCCATGCTGAGAGCTTTTAGCTACCAAGTCCTGAGCTTAGTTTCTCTAGGACAAATAGGACCTCTTCATGGTTTTGCTCAACGAAGGGTCTGTGGGGTTGTTCCCTCCATGTGGATGCTCTCCTTAAACACTGTGCCTCTAGCAGCCTTTTGGATAGCACTTTTTGGAAGGATAAGAGCATTCTTTTCCCAAATCTCAGGAGCTTGAGAGGCAGCAGCCACTCAATTATCCTTCCCTGGGGCAGTTTCATCCCAGTGTGTCCACAAAGGTCCAGCACAAATCCAGCCCTTATGGGTACTCAGACCCTCTTGAAGCCACGATGGGCGTTGGATGGCAGAATTTGTTGCCTTCAGACCTTCTTTTCACTCATTACACACTGAAATGTCCTTCAATGCTAGGAAGGACATCACTGGAGATAAAACTAAGGATAAGTTGTTTGGCTTAATTTCAGCTACCTGGAATACCAAACTTACGATTTTTTTCTGTCATTTTAAGTGACTGTCACCTACTTTCAAGACCAAAGGAGATTGGGAATAAAAGATTTATAAATTAACTAAACCTCAATCCAATGTTTTATAAGGAAGAAGAGAGGAGTTCAGTGAGGTTTAGGGTTTTTTTTCTGCAGGCCTACAACTTCAGTCAATAACACTGTGCTAATTCAAGAGAGCTGAAAAGCAAAACTGGTTTTAACAGAACGAACAACCAGCCAATTTATTTCTAAGCTGCATTAATTGGAAACCAAAAAGCACAAATAGGTATGATGAATGATGCAAAACAAATTGGAAACAAAATTCTGCGATCCCTCTTATCAGTTTTAAGGAGTTGGGACCTCAAAATTTGTTCCAGTCTTAAAAAAATAAAAAATAATACATCCCCTCTTCCAGCTCCCCGACGCAATCCTATCCCCATATGCGTTCAGTTTTAATAAGCTAAGGTGCTATCACAGAAGAAAAATCAGTCTCTAAAAAACAACGAGTTGTATGTTTACAGTGTTCCTCTAACACCATAGTCTTGATATGATTTTTGTAAATAAATAACAGAATAGAAACACAATATTTTTTTGTGGGGACTTTTTGTTGAGTTTGTTGTTTTGCTTTTTTGGTGGGGTTTTCTTGTAGTTCTTTTTTTTTTTTTTTTTTTTTTTTTAGTGTCGTGCTATATGAAGCTTCCTTGGCAATAAACCAATTCAAGATTTCTCGAAAAAGGGACTAGAATTTGGCTTGTCAACCATTAAGAAATTCCAATCCCCCCTCCCTTGGTGGAATCTTCCCTCCCTGTTCCCATTTTAATATCCATCTTGCCATGCTAGGTGTTGAGTGCACCGCAGGATTTAAAAAGAAAGGAAATAAATTTGAAAGTACCTATTTCAAATTTCAACAATTTACTTTCTTTTTTAAAAGCATTGACACTGCAATGGAACAGCTTTTTGTTCAGTCTTTGTTTTAGTGAAACATTTTAATTGGGCTGTGGATATGGAGCTTGGGTATTTTACCCAAGTTTAATCAATGGCTAACGGACAACTCGAATGAGAAATGTACAATTTGAACTGACCATTTAAAGAGACGATTTGTCACACACAGTTTGCATCCATGCAGACTGAGAGCTTTATAATTACATTATGTACAAAAAAAATTATTTTTTAGTTTATTAAGGCAACCACAACTTGGAGAACATGTCCAAAGTGGCATTAATACAATTGCAGTGGTGATACCCTTTGAACATTTTTATTTCTATTTTCAGATAAGAACACTTATTCCTTTTCTTTTTTTTTTTTTCAGAAATAATTGCCAAGAAAGGATCTATTATCCATAGGGTTTGTTCTATAGTTTTTTAAAACAATCTACTTTATCTATTTTCTTTAAAAGATAATATCAAGGCATTGCTACCCAAAGCAAATTATTAATATTCTGGTTTTCCCATTAATTTCACTGGGAATTGCAGATGGCAAAAACTTGGTAGATTGGGGTTCTGGTTTTTATTCTATTTTTTTTTTTTTGTGTGTCCTATTTTTTTTCTTTTATCTTTTTTATATTATTTTTTTGGTGTTTTTTTTCCATGTTTACTATAACTATTCCCCAGAAGTGTCTTGCTGTTCTCTACTCATATGTACCGAGCATCAAAACAACTTGGCTGATGGATGACCCCTTTTTCACATGCCATTGCCAAGTTGCTTCATATAAACGTGCTATTGTAACCGAATATCCGTGTATACCTTATTTTAAATGCTGTGATATTCCATTGTTTCTTGGGATAGCACTCGGAATGAGTGTGCACGCGTGTAAGGCTCTAATTTTCTATTGCCTATATTGCAGCTAGTTGTAACTAGGCAAGTAAATGAGAAAGAAATATATAGTTCTAGCAGGAGCCAGGCATTTTGGCTTATGCTGTCCCAAAGCCTGGTAGGTATATAAAACTGGAAAAAAAAAATCAAATAGATTATAACCAATATCACAGTTGAGAAAATTACATTATTTTTTGTTGGGTTTTTTCTTCTTTGTTTCTTTCTTTGTTTCTTTGTTTCTTTCTTTGTTTCTTTGTTTCTTTTTTTTCTTTTTTTTTTTTTCCTTTTTTTACAGTGATTTATACTATGGTAAAGTTACTCTTAGTTTCACCTGGCCCACCAAACAGAATCAGAGTCGAGCATGCACCCTTAGTGACAACGTTCAGCTATCTGCGAGGATGACTTCCAGCCTCTGGGTACGGTATGAGAACAGCAATGCTGAGATTCAGATTAGTTTTGGAAACTCGGCAGAGTTCATGCTTTTTCCAACTTTGACACACATCCTCCTCCCCTGTATCCCCCACTTTTCCCGCGCCTTTCCCCCCTCTTTCCTTGGGGGGGGTGCTTGGGTCAAAGCGATGAAGAGGAAAGATGCGCGCCCCAGCTGGCACAGCTCTCTGCAATGAGTTCTGGCTGCTGAAGGGACAGGTCAGTCTGGTGCTGCCAAAGGGGTGAGGCCGACTGTGCACCTCCTGTCCCCCAGTCCTGGCGTGCTCCACTGTGGGCACCCAACATCTGACGAGGTGCACTGGCCTTAGGGAAGGCCCTCGCTTTCGCTCCCTCTGCCCTTCCGGTGCCGCTTCACTTTCACGTCCTCCTCTTCCTCCTGCGGGGACTTGTTTTTCCTTTTTCCGACCCGGGGCGCCCGGGGTAGAGGGAGAGGGAGTGGAGGGGGTGGAGGAGGCAGAGGAGGCGGCAGCGGTGGCGTCTCTCGAGCCATGTGTATGACAGCCTCGATGGTGGCCATGATTGTATCTTGAGTGGCTGCTTGCTCCAGTATTAACGGGTTGAGTGTTGGTCTCTGACCTCTTTTGCTTGGAAGGTCAACACATTTTTCCAGAACGGGCATTTGGTCTCTGGAGTCTTCGTCAAAGGAAAGGGGCTGCTTCCGAGGACGCCCCCTCCTCTTCTTCACGAAGTTATTGCCTGTCTTTGATTGTCTCTGCAGCCGCTTGGCTTTCAGGATCTTGTTCACATGGTCCAGGTTCTTCTTTGTGGACAGGATCTTGGTGTAGTTGCACATCTTGCGCACCTCGCACTGGATTGCTTCGATTTCACGGCGCTTGAACCTTTTCTTCAGTGGTGAGCTGGCTGTTGGGAGACAAGGAGAGAAACAGGGGTGAGTCAAACCACAGTGATTGGAAACTCTTCTTTTACCCCTTCTAGCATCATGAAGAGTAGATGAAAATACAACTTTCATACAAGTAGTCTTCAGAGATTGCTCTCTGCCTGTTCCCTCTTCTAAAGCAACAAAGCTTTTGCTACAGCAACGTTTTAGCATGAGTTTGCTTCATTCTCATTTTTCAACCTTTAACTGGAGAGAAGGAAGCCTAGCATAGCTGTCATATTGGTCCAACTTAACTATTAAACCTTCTGTACCCCAAAGATATAATCCTGATATCTTCAATTCAGCCTTTAATTCTTGTCATGAATGCCAGTTAGTATGAAAAGTGTTTGTTGCTGAAACTAGTGGGCAGAGACAAGATGTGTGGGTCACTTCATCTGTGGCAAATTCATTACCCCTGCCTGGGTTTCTGTACTATCATCTCTTCAGATACTAGCTGAAACTACTCAGTCATATAATTGACTTTAATGGCCCCCAAAGTAAGCTTACTCCTGGTTCAGATCACTTACTTTAGATCTGAACAAAGTCCAAAGTAGTTAAGTTTCTTGCCAAGGTCACGTTGTGAGTCATTGTCAGAGCTGCGAAGAGTATCCAGAATTTCTTGGCTCTTTGTCCTTTGCTTAGGACACGAGACCTTGCTTGTTTTGCCTAAATTGTCTCATTGTCCTTTCCTGAACATGGCATCTGTTCAGAGTTCAGGATTTGCACACGGATTAGAAGTAACTACCCCTTTGTGAGGGAAGCAGAATGTATTAATTCTGCTATTGCAATAGCTGGTGCTCCCTTTCACTCCTAACATATCAACTCTGTGCTGCTGGGAAAGAAATGATGGAACTCAGAATTTCCTTTTTGGTAAAGAATAAAACATCCTACTAAATTAACCTCAGCCCACATCTACTTGCAAACTTAATTTACACCTGACTGTCAAGCAGTCATTTGGGTTTGAAATCCTTGAAGTTTCCCGAGCAGGCAAGATTTTGAGAAAGGTTCATTTGGGGGTTATCTCTGCCTTCATGGCTAACAGGCTAATCTTCCAGCAGTAGTTTAAATAAAGTTGCTATTGTAGCATTTTCTGCAGATAACCAGGAGCTGTCAAGTTGTAGAATCTCCTCTTGCTCTCTATGGGCTGTGACAGATTCAGCATATAAACCTCATTCACTGGCCTCCCCTCTTGGAGAACATAAATTATTGGCTCTTATACCACCATGTTGCTTGGATTCAGCGAAGAGCTTGCATAAACAAACCCAAGTTACAATGTAAGAAGTAGGAGTGAGTCATAAACAAAACACAGACATATGCTCTCTTATAAATAAAGACCTGGGATGGCCAACTTCCCAAAGTCTGGTTTTCATTAATTACAAAACAAAATACATTTTCCATATGTAACCCACTCCCCACACCAAAAAGAAAAATAAAACCCATTTGCAGTTTGTGGTTCACAAAGGACAAAAGAAAAGAGGAATGCAGTCATTTTGGTACCAAAGGAAAAGAGAAAGGAAATGAAATATCCAAGTTGCTCAGGAGAAGCTAATTAGTTGCACAAAATTCCTCCCAAGTAGGTCACCCCTAAAAAACTGTGGATTCAAGATCCCTAAAGGCAAGTGGCAGCAAGCTATTTCCCAGAAATTTGATCAAAAAAGGTTAAGTCCCTGTCACAGAAAATGATTATTCTCATCTGTTCTCACTGGTGATTGACATAAGTAGCCCCAATAACTTCAGCCTTAAGCATTAAAATCCTTTGAGTCCCACCCATATCCTGAGAGTAGCTTCAGGTCAGAATATCTAAAAAATCAAACATTTGGCACAATCCTCAAGTTCACTGTCCACCTTTTGCCTTTTATTTCTATTGTCAGGGCACATTTTCAAATATATATTTTTTTTAATTCCAATATTTGAGGTGCTTTTTTTTTTTTTTTTTCTGAAAGTAAAGCTGAAATTTTTCAGTTGGTGACTGACAACGGAAAATTTACCAGAAATACAGGAAAGCTTGCAAGGTATCACGATGATACCAGGAGATTTGGCTTTACTCTCAATTTTCATTGGAAAGAAAGTAAGCCAAGGGACTGGGGAAAAAAATGAAATAAAGCATTAGCCAAGTCCCTGCAAAGACTTTATGTCTTTACTGAGATTTATCTGCAGGCAGCTGTTTCTGCAGATTGGCGTTACCACCTGAACGTGGTCAATGGAGACCTGGGCTGTACAGCTGGTAGAGGATGACCTCAGCTTCTAAACCCTAAAATGGGAACTCAGTGCAGTTCAAGATGACCTTGCACATTGTTTTGATGTCCTGATGCTGGATGAGAACACAGAACTCCTGTCCATCCTGAAACCCTGTTAGGCACTCAAGAGGTCGCTCAGGCTGAGAGTCCTGAGTGGAGCCTGATTCTGAATAGACACTGCCTGAGTGGAGCAAAGGCTGGCACCTGCCTTCTGCCAAACTGCCCAGTTCCCCAAAATTAACTGATATGAAGGCAACTGTGGGTAGGCTTCTGCCTCTGCATGTAAATGAATGGCCAAACACCACTTGCAGTGCATTCCTTCATGTTTAGATACTTTTTTTGCCCCTATAAAACTTTGCAAACTCACAAGTCTGTTCATTTTTGTGCTGAAATACATTTTCACATTTAGGAAAAAAAACCCCTATGTGCTGTTCTGTGCTGGCTTACTGCACTAATTTTCCTTTGTAAATGCTTTGGGGTGTTTATGGCTTTCTCAGGGAGCTTGTTAGAAGCTACTAATAATTCCTTTTCTTTCTTCCTAGCAAGCCTCTGAACTTGCAGGCTCTAGAAATCATTTGAGTTGTTACACAGTCTGCCAGTAGTCAGAATGCATGTACTGGGTAAGTACCTGTGCTTTCAGGTCAGGCTTTTAAAATGAGATATTAGGAAACCCAACATAATTTTGATTATTGAATGTCAGGGACATCTGCTTCTACATTTGGTGTAGGAAGACTATGCAGAAATAGTCTGATGGGCCTGCAGGGGGAAGCTTTGATGAGGTGTGCCTATGATAAAATATCAGGAAGATCTGCCAAAGTAAACTAGCATTGAAGTGAGAGCCATTAGGTGTTATCAACTCATCTGGAAGCTCTTGGTGAGCAATCTTTGATATAAAATATTTTCCTATATTGCCATGTGACACACTGCTCTGCTGAAAGCCAAAGCTATGCATTAATCTTTTCCATTTCATCCAGACAGACCCTGCCCAACCCTGGACCCAGGCTGGTCTGTGTTGGTCTTAATTTTTTGGATTTTTTTTCTGGTCTGCCTCCACAAAAGCAAGATCCACCCCAAAATGAAGGGAAACTAGAAATGCATGGTGCAGCCCAAGCTTTTATACTTTTGCTTCATCCTTTCCCCACTCTCCAAACAACCCCAGCTAGCTGCCCCAAAACAAGCAAGAACCAATGTTAGCCTTAAACCACAGCTTTAAACATTTCAAATAGGGCACACGGAGGTCTGGTGCTTCTCCCCGTGCCAGGGTCCACAGGTGCAGTGAGGCTCAGTCTCACGAACTAGAAATGGCTGCAGGCCATGCTGGGAAGCCACACAGGAATGAGATGATGCTGGAAGCAGCTTCTGAAGCAAAGAGAGCCACTCCCACAAAAAATACAAGTATTTCCAAGGGGGGTTAGAGGAGGCTGAAAGACCCACTCCAGCAGTGATGGTGAACGAGGAGATGAGCCCAGGTAGACCAGACCCTTTGGATGTTCTTCATTGGCCCCATAAGTTTATTCTGGATGGCTCTGTTATGTCTGAAGCCCTAAAATCCTTCTTGCTGCCTGTTACTCTCCATCCCTTCTGAGGTGCCTGAGGCCACTTGCAAGAACATGGCACAGAGGAGGCTGCTCAAATCTGGGGTCAATTTCTTGGCTTGCATTGAATGGAGGAATTTTCAAAGAGCTTCCTATTAATTACAGGAAACCCATAGCACTGTCCTGTTTTCCCATTAACACAGTTTCTTTCAGTTTTCAGCTAAATTATTTCAACATCTGGGCTACAGATAAACCAACAATTTAATTAGACTTCTGAAAATAAAAAGAATGAACTATGCAGTCAGGCATACACTTTCATCTTGAAACGGATCATAAAATATTTGTGTGCTTTCCTTCTTTGCCGCTTTAAAAATCTGTCCTTGGTTTATATATAGGAAAGTACTAAAGACTAAACAGACAATCCTGATTTTTTTAATATAAAAATTTATCTTTACAGAGGCTAATTTGCAGCATGAAACCCTTTCTTTCACAATTTATTCAAGAAGTGAGAGGGAAATAAAAATAAGTGTGTTGAAAAAACACTTTCAGCTGAATGATTAAATATGCAATAATTCTGTAAGTCAGTGATACAAATACGTTTCTTGTGAATGTGGCATCAAAAGTTTGACAAGACTATGAAACTCCTAATGGCTGCATGTAGGGTAATGAACTGTGGATTCCCCATTCACTGGAAATTAATACAAAATGGAAGATTAACCTCTCTATCCATGCCCAAGAAAAGGCATGATGATGCCTGAATGACTTGGCTCAATTTCCAGCAGTATAAAGATATCACCTTTCTGATCTGATTCAAAATAGAAGCACAAAAAATAAGTTGATAGAAAAGCACGCTGCTCTGACTTATTTATTCTGGTATTTTAAATCACTGCTCATTGCCCCAGACAATTTTGCATTTGCAAGACAGAATATTATGCTAAAATCACTGAAGTATGCAGTAAGAAATCTCATCTGCTCCTCAGCTATTCACTGTGTATTTGGTTGGTTCATGCTACAGGGATGGGAGCATTTAAAAGAAATGAAGAATGGGGCTGAGGAAGGAACCCACGAGTCTTGCTTCAGAGTGTCCTGCTAGACCCTACAGGCTGGTGCTACTTGCATCCTCATTATTGCACAAGTGGTGGTGTGTGAATAAAATAGATTTGATGTGCCAAGATCTACAATCACAGCAAGAAAGCATTGGAGATGTTACAGCCTGATTATCACATTAGTTATTCACATTTGCAGCTACTTCTCCAATCAGGAAGAGAATTGGGTGAACATATTGTACAGCTCCAGAAGGAAGAGTATGGGGAAGAAACAGAGGGGCTGGAGTGAAAACAGCATTACCTGCTTCAGATGTTGCTGATGATGAAGGTAGGAGAGATAATACTGGACTTGGCATTGCAACACTGTCAACAGCTGCTGGTTTCCTTCTGGTCATCACATTACAGGCAGAACTTTCCATTTTACCATGAAGTGAAGTCTGGTCTGCTTTTAAGTGGGGACCTGCAATTCCTGGGGAAACAAAATTTGGATGAGTGTTAGTACTGTAACGTGTCTGGGGATATACCTGAAAATAAGAGAAGCCAGTTGCTGTCCTTGCTGCATTGATATATTTCCATACTTCCTTGTGGATGTATCTGTAATACAGTTCTGATACTAGCAAAGATCACAATTGTTATCAATTTTTGATAATTTTGCTGAAGGATGTACCATCACTGGTCTCTATAAACAATGATAAACCAACAAAACATTCTGCATTAGTGCTTTTTCTTCTAAAAAACCACGTACACTCTGATGCATGTATAGAGACAGATATCCTTCGTAACCCTACTTACTGGGAATGCCTATGTATAATTTCCTGTGTAGTTCATTCTCCACACATACTTACATACTTCTCTGCTATAAACACCTGACTTAGTGGGTGTTTCATCTGAGCAAGGGGCAGGCATCAGGAACAACCTCAATATGCAATTCCCATCCGGAGCACGTTACATTTATTTTTCAGGAATTCCCTTCCTAATTAAATTTGCCTTGCAGCTCATCAAAGGGAAGTGAGTTAAAGAAAGAAAGAGTTGTTTGTCATATATCTTTCTACCTACAGTTTACAATGCAGAATAAATGAGTGGTAAAATAATGCCAAAGAAGTTAAATATTCCAGGAAAATAAAAGTTATGCACTTATGGCTGGCAAATTCCTCCACTAACAGTACTTCTCAAACTCTTGTATAGTTTGTAACCATTTTGTTTCAGGATATGTGAAACAAAATGGATACAAAATGGTTTAAATATGTGAAATTTAAACTCCTGGCAGGGAAATTTGAAAACCTCTCCCAGTCTCTGTGATGTTGGGCTTCAACATGATTAGGGCAGATATTAATTTATCAGAGACAATCCTTCATAAATTCCTTCTTTTTTCAGATCTCAACCTGCACATGAGCCTCAGATAAAATGCACCAGATTTTGCCGACTAAATTATACAATGATTCAAAAAACCACAAAGCAGCTGAGGTTGAAAACTTCTCTTGAGACCACCTTGCCCACGTCACACTGCACAAACAGGGTCCTCTACAGAAGGCTGCCCTGGACCACATCTGGCCAAATGAGAATATCTCCAAGGAGGGAGAGTCCACAACCTCTCCCTACAAACTGTTCATCCCCTCAGTAAATCTACACTGTTCAGGAACAACTTGTGTTAATGTTTCAGCTTGTGCCCAATTACTCTTGTCCTGTCACTGGCCAGCACTGAGAATAATCTGGCTCCATCCTCTCTAATCTTTCCCATCAAATATTTGCATATGTGGAAAAAATCTCTCTGAGCCTTCTCTTCTCCAGGCAGAACATTCCCTTCCCTCTGAGTCTTTCCTCATAAGAGAGATAATATCCCAGATTCTTCATAATCTCTGTGCCCTCTGACTGGACTCTCTCCCATATGTCCATATTCCCCTGACATATCAGCCACTGCTCTGAGTTCTGAAATTCTCCAGATTTGTGGAGGGTGTTCTCTACCCTGCCACCTGCTCATTAATTGACATATTAAAAGTTTTTAGTCCCCATATCATGGGGACCTCTACCGTCTGGTCTCGAAGTGGATTTTGTGCTACCCATCACAGCCCTCTGAGACCAGCCAGTTTTCAGTCCATCACAGTGTGCATTTATTCTGCCTGGGTTTCATCATTTTGTCTGTAAGAAGCTGATGGAACTCAGTGGCAGAATTCTTGCTAAAGTCAAGATGAAAAACATCAGATTGGTGAGGCATGATTTCCACTTCACAGATCTGTGATAACTACTCCTGTCATCTTTTCCTCCTTCATATGTTTGGAAATGCTCTTCACAATTATTTACTCCATCACATTCTAGAGATTGAGGTGAGACTGAACAGCCTTGCTGCTTCCTTGCTTTTGCTTCTTGACCTAATTGGACTAATATTTCTTCTCTTCTAGTCCTCAGAAACCTCTTCTGATCACCACAACCTTTCAAAAACGACCTAGAGTAGTCTCACAGTGATGCCAGCCAGATCCCTCAGCACCTTTGGGTACAACCTGCCAAATCCCATGGATTTATGCCTGTCCAGTTCATTTAACTGTTCCCTAATCAGATCTTCCTCCAAGAGCAGGTTTTCTTTCCACAGCAGCATTACAGGCCTGGGATTCTCAAAGGCCAGTCCTACCAGCAGAGACCAAGGCAAAGGGGACAATCAGTCTCCTGCTGATCTTTTTCAGCCAGGGTCCCTGTTTCATTCAGCAAGGGACCCATATTTTCCATAGGCTATTTTTGACTGCTTTATGTAACTGTCAAAACATTTCTTGTTGATCTTCTGCCCTAGATTCAACTCCAGATGGGCTTTGTCTTCCTAAGCCCATCCCTGCATGCCTGAACATTGTAGATCTCATTCTCTGGATCACCTGCTTCCGCGTCTCTATTGATTCCTTTTTGTACCTGGAGCTTCTTGGTCAATCATGAGAATCTCCTGACATCTTTGCTGAGTTTGGTTTGCCCCCCTGATCTGGTTTTGTATGTCTCCACAATGTTCCTGATCCAGGCCAGCAGCAAACCTCCTGGCACTGCAGGTCAGGTCAGGGCCTTCATCCCCTGCAGCACTGAACCCCCACTGCCGCCCCTGGCTGCACCTGGACAGCACCTGCTGGTTCCTCAAAGCCTTTCCACAGGTGCTCTGACACAGCCTGGGAAAGCTCCCTAAGATCATCAAGTCCCACTGTTTCCCCATCACTGCCAAGGCCACCACTGACCCATGTTCCCGAGTGCTGCATCCACCTGGCTGTTAAATCCCTGCAGGGGATGGGAACTCAGCACTGCTCCTGAGAGCCTGTGTCAGAAGTGGACAACCCTTTCTGTGAAGAAAGTTTTGTTAATATGCAGTTTAAACCTCCCCTGGCACAGCTTTCCTCTCATTCTGTCCCTTGTTCCCTGGGATTAGAGTCTGGCCTGTCAGGGAGTTGCAGGGAGTGAGAAGGTCCCCCCTGAGCCTCTTTTACTCCAGGCTGAGCTCCCCCAGCTCTCTCAGCTGCTCCAGACCCTTTTCCCTTTTGTATCTCTTCACTGTGCTCAGCTTCTCCATACACAGCCCAAAAATTCCTTATATGTGCTATTTGGAGCTGCTATGAACAGTGCCTATGAACTTGGGTTTCTGGTATGTAAAAGGAGAAATATCAGAGATCTGTGGGCTGTCTCAGAAGCTGTGGAAGAGATCCCTATCAGATTCAGGCACAGAAGTGCTACAGTGAGAGGAGTCTGAAAGACAGGGATACAAATGGGCCAGTTTGGGATAGGAGTCCTGATGAAAATGTGAGCTGATATCAGCTGGTAGACTTAAGGGAGGCAAGAAAAGGCAGAAATAGTGACAAGTGAGACAGTGTTAGAGGTCACAGCTTGGTGGGGATAAACAGAGCAGTCTCTGCCTATTAGACCACACATCTTTCCAGAGCCTCAAATCTACTATTAAGCATCTCAAATTGTATCCATTAAAGTTCAATCTCTCTCTGCTCGGCTTCTCTAGTGCAAATGAGAACAATAATATACCCCTCATCTCAAGAGCAGTCCTGTGAAAATAAAATTATCAACATTCATGAAACATTCATCTATTCATACCGAGGCTTAGAAATGTGGAATAAATGAGACATGATGTCAAGCACTGAATAGCAAGAGGAAAATCCAGCTCCCAAATAGCTGTTCATTAGGTGAGCTCTATACATTGAATAAGCAGTGTCCCATAGAATAAGTGAGATATTTGACTAGGTAATTACCCTTTGGAGCTCTGTGTATGCACACCTGAGGTCTCACCACTACACAGTGCTTGGGTTTGTGCCTTAACAATATTTATTCATGAGTGTAGTGGGTGCACAAGAAATGTGCGCATGTGGGTGCATGTATCAATACACACACACATATATGCACGTGCATATGGTACATAATAATGCTAACAACCTCATAAATTCAACATCTGGTCCTAATTAAACTGAAGGGCCTATATAAAGAGCCATATGAAAACATGCAGCTGTAACCTGTTGACCTCTATTGATAAAAAAAGAAAAAAGTCTGTGAAGCTGTGTTTCAACATATCAAGGGACAATCACTCATTTTTTCAAAGGTAATCCCCCACAAACCACTTATCCTCTCAAATCTCTACCTGCACACAGTGTTTGCATTAGGGACCTTGATTTATGGATCCCCACTCCTTGGATGGAGAGGCCAACTTCCTGTTGCCGTGGTTACTTAGATCTTGGTTCAAGGTTAAACTACTCCCAAATCAAAATCAGTGGCAGGCACAGCATCTAACAGCCAGGTTATTGACTACCCTAGGATGCTTAAAGGTCAAAGACCAAAGTGCTGCTCACTGCCTTTGGGGTGAGTCAATATTTTCAATATTTTTATTCTGTTTCTTCTGAAGAAGTAGTTGCTGCTCAATTACCACCCATCTGGGTTTAGCAAGGTCATACAAATCATTGAGGAAAGTCCTCCCCCTACAGAAGAGATACAAATGTAATGAATTACTTCAAAGTCTACATGGCCCAATTGCAGCTCATCACTGGTGAATCATGGGCTCAGACATCTGTCTCTTGTTTGAGGGGCTTGGTTTCTTCAGCCTGTACCCCTCACCTCACTGAAAATCTCCTCTGTATTGAGGAAGAAGGGTAATTTATGGATCTGGACCAGTCAATAAAGGAGAGCCATCAGTTTTCTTTCCTGGACACCAGAATGCAAACAGAGATTCAGAGGTATTGCTGGAAACACGCGGAAGTGCAGCAATTTGCTGACAAGGTTTTGATGCATGCTGCAGTAGTGGAATGTCTGTCCTTCAGTGGGCAGACCTGCTGGTGTGCTATCATCACCTCTCATTGCGCTTTTTCCTGTCAATTGGACTGCTCTGTTCAGAAGGCCTTGGGTAGGAGAAGGCCCTAGTTCAACCCATCTAAGAATCAGGTGAAAATAAGTAATTTCCAACACCATCAGAGGGATGTAAGAGTTTTAAATTCACACACTCATTTGTTGAATCGG